GAAAAAAAAGTTTGGGAACCTCTGGTCTAAACCGACTAAAATGATGGCTAATTTTTGAAGCATTCCTCTGCAGACGAATCGTTCGTGTTGCCTATCGTTCGTTAATTCAAAATTTCAAACAGGTGGCAAATCTAAAAAATATTTTCGGCTGTAAGCCTTCCTAAGCCTCTCTCTTTTGATGCCCGTATTGCAATATTCACTTTTTCTTATCAATTTACTTAACCTGCAATTTCCAAACAGGTGGCAGATCCCTTAAAAATATTTTCGGCACTAAACTTTCCTAACCTAGTTTGATGCCAATATTGCATTATTTAATTTATGCTATCAATTAAACTAAATACAAATTTTCAAATAGGTAGCAACCTTCCACAAAAATATTTTCAGCTGTTAGCCTTTGTAAACCTCTTTCTTTTGACAGCCATATTGCAATATTTACTTTATAGTATCAATTTGCTTAAACTGAAATTTTCAAACAGGTGGCAACTCTCTAATTTTTTCCTTCTATATTCTAGGTTAGACCTCTAGCGATACATCGATGAAAACTGAATTCGATTACATGCATTAGTTTTCGAGTGATGCGCGCACAAATATACAAACAGACAGACAGACAAAAATTCTAAAAATTATTAATTTGGCCTCTGTAGCTCTAATAACGACCCCCATATTAATTTTTCTTTAATATCTATAACTTACAGACATCTGCATGTTACAATTTTATTACAAGGATAGATACAGATTTCATTTGTTTGATCAATTTAATTCAATAAAATTTTTAAAACAGGTGGCAACCCCCTCTAAAAATATTTTCATCTGTAGAATTTCCTAAACCTCTTCAGTGTGATACCCATATTACAATATTCAATTTATCTTATAAATTTAATTTAATTGAAATTTTAAAACAGGTGGCAACCCTCAAAATATATTTTTGGATGTAAGGCTTCTTAAACCTTTTTCTTTTTATGACCATATGCAATATTCACTTTTTCTTATCAATTTACTTAACCTGAAATTTTCAAACAGGTGGCAACTCTCTAATTCTTTTCGTTCTATATTTTAAGTTAGACCTCTGGCAATACATCGGTGAAAACTACATTCGTCTTCCATGCATTAGTTTTCGAGTGATAGGCGACAAACTTACAGACTGACAGCAGACAGACAAAAATTCTAAAAATGGTTGATTTGGCTTCTGTTGCTCTAATAAAGACCCCGCACATTAATTTTGGTTTTAATTTCTTTAATTTACAGACATCAGACTTTTACAATTTTATTATATGTATAGATTTTGTAAGTGTATTGGAGAATACGTTATGTCGTTCTTGCTGGAACTAAATAGGGGAGCGAAGGGTATTATAGACCATGGTACAATAATTACAGGTATTGTCTTCCCAGAGAGCGTATATTCCGATCTGCCTTATTTGAAAAATATCATTGTTGCCGACACTAAAAGGTTTACTGTAAGGAAAAGGAAAGGGGATATTTCGGTACACCATATACCATACATGTCCACATATTTTTTTATTTAATTTGCAAAAGCGGAAAAATAAACATTTGCTTGGTAAACAAATCAAAAAATTTTATTCCTCACTATTTCAAACGGTTTTTCTTTTTTTTTTTTTAAATTATAAAAATTAAAATGAGCGAAACCCAAAAACAAAGCCAAATAAAAGTAAAAGAAACAACATTGAAATGCGTCAAAATGACAAGTAATTTTTAGCAAAAAAACCGACTTCAATTGTCATATAAAAAAATATATATATACACATATATATAACTCATGATCCACTGATCGGATCTTAACCAGATTAGTATGGGACCACCTCTGAGACACTACCATTCCGATGCAATAATTATCGAAATCGGTTGACGTGGTCCAAAGTTATGGGGTAACATACATAAAAAAAAATATTCCGACGCACCGATAACCTCCTCCTTTTTTGGAAGTCGGTTAAAAATAAGGGAGCACGATTTTCGAAGTGAAACAAACCTCTCTGGGAAGGCAATACCTGTAATAATTGTGCCATGGTTATAGACCATATAAGGAAAATTTTCAGTAGAAAAAAACCGAAATTACAATTTTTCCTAATTTTTTATTGGATAACACAGTCCAACAAAAATAAAAATAAATTAAAGCTGGTTTTGATAGATATTTTTGTGTTGATTACGCATCTGTAAGCATAAAGTTTCCATCAGCTCCATATTTTGAAAAAGCTGTCAAAAATTCGCAGTTTTCAATTTTTTTAAAAGCTCTAATATTTGAGATCTTAAAAAATTGTTTACCATCATTAGCTTAAACAAAATGATGGCAAATTTTTATGCACATTGCCCTCCACAGTTTGAACTATTAACCCCAACCACCACCCCCCTTGTTCTACGAAATAGCGTGATAAAATGAATTTTAAAAATTGCAACTTGTAACTAACATACACCAAAAAAAAGTTCTCTTAATTGAAGAAAAGCAGCAATCAAAATGAAGAAAAATGGGAACGAAACAGCACTAAAGGAGTTTTATCCTCTTTTCATGAGCAACATTTCTTCAAAATGATAGATTACATCCACGGCTCCATATTTTCATGTACGTTTTTACACATTCCGAAAAAAATTACGCATTCGGGAGAATTTTTTACTCATTCGGAAGAATTTTCTACCTTAAAGTAAGGAAAGTTTTTTTTAGATCCAGAGATGGATTTTTGGTTCAGTGTAGTACACTTAGGTCTCTTTTTATGCGGTACATGCGTTCCTCAGAAACCCGGATAAAAAAATCCGCATAAAAAAGTTATTTACTTTCATAGAAAAACAGGGGGACTTTCAACAACCGCATAAATTGAGATAGTTCGTGTAAAGTGTGAGGCAATAGTAAGCATAAAAAAAAACAAATTTATTTCTTCACTTCAACATTTGGTATTCCATGTAAAACTGAACATTAAGAAAAAATAAAATTTATCTGTATTTCAATCAAAAAACAATACAACAATAAATACATGAATTGTGTTAAAATACAAAGACAAATTATTTATCAGAAGCATTGTCTCTTACACACTAAAAAAAAGTCATAAAAACTCCCAAAAAAGCAAAATCGCTACAGCAAAAATTGGTTTCAAAACCGCATAATTTCAAATCCGCATAAAAAGAGACCTAAGTGAACAATGAAATTGTTTGTAACATACTAATTCCAATCGTCGCCTCGGTAAAAGATTTTCGTAAGCGTCATACGTATGTGCGTAACATACGACAATCTTTTACCCAGGCGACGCAATGTAAATATAGGTGAAAATGAAAGAAAAGGTTTAAAATGTTGACCTTTTTCTAACTTATTATTTAAGCTTATACAGCTTTCTTATTTGGAATCTTCCGGCAACACTTCTGACAGCCATGTATTGCTGGAAAGCTCACTCATTTGGAGACTTGCTCCGCATCTCATTTACGATATACTATAAATGAGTGAGAAAACACGATAAACAACAAAGCCCGAAATGAGAGCTATTGTAGACAAACGTTCTCTGTCAACAACTTGCTCAAATATCATAAAAGATCTGATCAGAGTTGCCGTTCCAATATAAATGTATCCCATTAGGTACTTAAAAATTTTGTTCCTTTTTCCTGCCTAAGCGGTGTTTGTTTTATATTGTTATAAAGAGAAATATTGTTGTCCGTTCATAAGAGACTCATATCCGCGCAACAGATATTTTCGGGCCTATTTTATAAAAAAAAATTACTGATTGTCTCTGTTTAAGGAAAGTGTACGTCTAATACAGTGAGCTGGCAAAGGCATACAACAACAACTTTTCGTTGAGTTATTTTGCTTCGATGTTAACGATTGATTTATTTCGTTTTAACGTTAACGATTGAGTTTTGTTTCGTTAATTCAGTTCCGAAATAAAACGAAATTATTTTGAGAAGTTATTTTGGCGCATCAACAAAACAAAATCGGTTCATATAGTTTGTTGAGCACCTCTGATGTGAACATTACTTGATTGAAATGGATCACCTTTGTTAATATATGGTTAGTTGGGCATCTAAAGTAAATCCTATATTTTTCTTTTGTCCCGATTAATTTTTGTAAATCCCGTATTTCTCGGATATGTTATGCGTTTACCCCGTATGGCTGAAGTAAATTCTGGCAACACTAACTAATAAATTATAAACTGTTCAATTTTCCAAATGAAAAAAAGAAGAAAATTCCGGACGAATAATTAATCAATAATAATCCGGATAGTCCGTTGCAATAATAATTCGCCCGGAATTTTCGGATGATTAGGGACAGCCCTTTTGTATACCAACAATAATAATTGATTAAAATTTTATTGCGTTTTCCCACAAAATTAAAATTATGAAAAAATTCACATTATTATTAAAGGTGCGATATGTTCAGTATACACACAACTAATAAAGAAAAAAAATTAAGCGAAAAATATGAAATTCAAGTAATTTTATTCTCAATCGCTAAAAGTTTTTTCCATTTGGAAGAAAAAAAGTTTGATAAATGTTTGGTAGCATTTTTTGTTGCATTCAGTTCGGCGCAAAAAATTTACTGGCCATGGCAACTCTGGTTTACCCCAAGATCACGCTGCATTGTTTTTGTGTCTAGCGTACGCACAATTTGGTACCATTATTTTGTTTGCGCTTTACAGCTGAGTTTCGTAAGTCCCCTTTCAGACACGTCAAGTCTTGCTTTCAAGTCTGCTCGATCCTGGTAATGACGTCGGGAAGAGAGGGGAAGAGCACAGATACCTCCGCACCGTCAATTCGTTTCAAGTTTACTTGTTCTCTCTTGATCTTTTCGTTGCTTCCCATTTAAAGATCCGAGAACTTGAATTCAATAAAACTTGACGCGTGTGGAAGCAAAGAGAAAACACAACAGAGAATGCGATAAAAATTGCTTTCAAGACTTGCTGTGTCTGAAAGGGGGCTAATGTTGTCCGCTCATATCCAAAAGGTTTCTCTTTACTTTTTGTCGTTGTATTTCTTTGCAAATCATTGCATTTTGCTATGTTTATGTGCGTCATTGTGCATGCCGCTGCACAACACCAAGAACAAGAAGAAGGCCAATCGTTTGCAAGAATAGGGGAGTAAAATAGAAGTCGAAACAGCACGAACTATGCGAAGAAGCAAATTGAATGAAAACAAAAACACCTAAAGTAAAGGCAATGAAATAAAAGATTTTTGATCGTATGCTTGCCGTTACTGCTTCTTCGTTGCCGTTTCGTCGTCGCCGTCGTACTTTGCGTTGTCGGTGGTTCCTCATTTGCTTTTAACAACACAGAATCTCAGTCTCGATTTTTACACAGAATTCATCGGTGTGTTTGTATGAAATCCAGCAAACAAGCGGCAGCAAGAAACACATGTGAAAATTAATAATTTTATAAACCAATTTAATTTCAACTAATAGTGAGGTGTCCAACATCAGTTTGGTAGTGCCAGTTTCAACCAAAACTCAGCAATTAACTAAGTTCCTGAAAAAATACTGTAAGTGATCGTCAGAAGATTTCGATCAAGTTTTAACTGTGATCTCCCTGTATGTGGCTTGGCGCAAAGATCTCTGCGAGTCATATTTTCGCGCCTACCCCCTCCCATTAACAGTACACACCCTTTTCGTGAGGTTACAAAAACGCGTCGTGCATTGCTTTTTGTTTCGAAAACTGAAAGTTAAATGTTAAATTTGCATCATTTCAATTTTTTCCTTGTTGAAAATTGTTTATATTTGTACATTAGTATTTTCTTTCACATTGTTTTTAATTTAACTCGTATTTCGTCGTAATTACATATGTATGTATATTTAACTGAAAATATATGTACGTATATTCATAAATACGCGTGTGCGTGTGTCCGTGTGTATCCCGTCGCGGTTTTAAATTTCGTGCATAATCCTTTTGTGTCAGTAGTAGTGGTGTACGAGTATTTTTTGTATTCCTTAAATCGGAGTGTTCAAGTCGTATTTGCAGTCGTGTTGTCCTTTAAATTGCTTTTGTACCAACTGTGCTCTTTATACGGTGTTTATATGAGTCGATTTTACAGAGCATTTTAGATGCGGTTAGTTGAATCAATAGTCGGCTGCCGACCAATTTCGTTGAAAGCGATTAGTTGAAAGGCCGTTTACACCAGGCTTTCAATTAAAAGTTGGCTGTAAAATCGACTTATGCAGGTTAAACACCTTATTAGGTCGTAGACTTCAATTCGTGAGTTTGCCTCTTTTGCTGTCGTGCGATTTTTGTTAACGCAATCGTGTGTCTAAAAATTTGAAGATCGTCCTGTGCCAAGATCGCAATCCATATGAAGTACATAATTTAGCGGCGTGATACAAAGCTTTGAAAGTGTTTCACGTCGTATTTGCGGAAGTGGCGGCTAAAGAAATAAGCTTAGATCACGATCAACGTTTTCGCCGTTCGGCTGCTGGCCTTTTATAGTTTTCGACATTTCTCAAATCAACAGCCGGTCAGCAGCCAAATGGTGGCCCAATCCTGCCGATTGCCTACTTCTTTATCATTTTCAGTTCTTCAATTTAAAAAAAGAAAAGATATATCTGTGGAGTTGTGTGTATGAATTTCATATTTTCCGCTCAAATATATGTAATTCTAAATTATAATAAAGTGTCGATCTGAATTATTAACAAAATTTTAAGTGTGTTAAAAAATTGACGAACACGTTTAAACGTTGCATACAATTTAGAGAGAAAACCCTAGTGTCGTTCTTTGGCATTCCCTACAAAAAGTGCAAGTAGATATCCGGCTGCATACCAACAAAAAAAAAAAACAAAAAAAAATCGGCGATTACGTTTTTGGATACATTCTTGTGCAAACTGTAAGTGCTAGATTTTCAATTAAGGATAGATATACATATACATATTTTAATATCCAAAATTTTTCTTCAATGTACAAATTATCATCGTGTGTATTTACTCTCTTCCGTAATATTTCCTCTATCTGCCACAGTTTACTTCAGTTAATCCACGCAAATCTATTCGTTGTAATCAATGGGGGTATTCTCGAAGTCTTGCAAAGCCCATGCACGGAGCACGGTTTGCAAAGGTGTCTCATAGGAAAACCGGTTTATTTCATGCAATCCATGCATCGTGCAAGGGCTTTGCAAGACTCCGAGAATACCCCTAATAATAAAATGAGGTATTAACACTTCCTTCCAAAATGGGTTACGGAATTTTGACATCAAACTGTGAGCAATCTTCCAAAATCATGGCAAAATTATAGTGGTATTGCCAGATATTTCTTCGGCAATTTCGTTCACAGTTCATCTTTATAAAATTATAATTATTCAAATTAATTGTAATTGTTTTACTAATATTTATTTTGCTACAACTTTACTCGGTTGCTTTTATTAGCCACTGTGTTCAAAAAAAAAATCATATACAGAAAACGTTCCCGATAAATTTAACGAAAAATCTGCATACCTTTGAGTGCTACAAAATGCAGAGAGCGTCGTTTTAAAATTTGGCAACCACAAAAACAAAAAAAGTTAGATAATATTGACGTCAACATTTTGGAACGAACTGTGAACACCTCAAATATTTTAAGTCACATGTAAATAGCTCGTTTGTTTTCACTTCAAATACTATCTTCTGTTTCTACACTCTGTTTGCTCGCCTCCTTCCAAAGTTTACCACTGTTTCGCGTCGTATGCAGTGTTGCCAAAAGTGTTTGGGTCGACCGGATAAATTTACCGAAAAAAGCGGCTAAAACCGGCTAAATCGTTTCAATCAAAATTCACATGTTTTATTTAAATAAATCACAAGTAGAAAGAGTAAATTTCTTAAATAATCGAACATTTCAGATAACACATTGAAATGGAGTGTGAGTATGGCAACGAACACATCGCCTCGGATTTTCTGGCATTCTTTCTATGCAATGAACTGTTTTATTCAAATTTCTCAGATTTGACGATGTAGACCGCTTTGAAGTTTATGCAGAAAATTGAAGTTGCGTCTCTTTTCTTACGGAAACCAATAACTCATTTACAAAACTTGCATGAAACTGCAGTTGAGGCAGGGGTTTTTATTTTTCCTGAGTTGTAACTAAAACATGAATCTTCCAAGAATTAAATATCATGTTACCATGCAAATTCGTGAAGAAGGGCTATACCATTTCTTCGATCGCAATGCAATGCGGTAATTTTCCAAAGCGTTATCGAGAAAGTCCACGCCACCCATATGCTTGTTGTATTGTGCATTTGTGTTTATTAATGTATTACCTGTTGCAAAGAAACGCTTCTGATTCAGCACACATAAATACGGTGGCAGGATGGTGAATCGATGACTTTCAATAAGCTTAAAACAGTATCAGCATGTTTATCAAAGCTCGACGGAAAATAAAACATTTTGCTGAGATGCATAATATATCATTTCTACCGTCTCGTTATCAAAAAAAGGTTTGAACAAATCAATTAGGAACTCTTTGCCTGAATATAAAGGATTTTTAATGTAAATTTTAAATTACTCAGTTTTAACACAAGCAACTGAACAAGTTGATCTTCATTATTTACTGGACTTTTTTCATAAGCTTTAGTTAGATTTTTCCAACATGGATCGTACGATGTCTTCTTTGGTTTTTTTGAAGGGGGCTCGTAGGTACTCAAATTCTGATTCACCCGAATGGTACTGTACTCCCATTACGCCGGCAATGTCTACGGCAGGCGGTATATTTTCATCGATTAACTCAATTGTTCGTTATCACTAAATTCATCCACATCTGGTGGTATATATCAGGGCGTCCAGATTGTTTAAAAAAAGCGCAATTTAAAAAAAAAATAATCGCCAAAAATCGCAATTTTTTTTAAATAAAATTCATGAAATGGATTTAACAAATCTTTTATTTAAAAAATGAGATCTTGTTATAATATAGTTTTTAAAACCAAAAATGAATATAATACTTTCAGAGGGTAATAATAAATAAGACAAATCACTTATATAATACGCATACTTTTTGAAAATATTTGTTTCAACACGTTTTGCAATAGGACTGCGCAATTCTAAATTTATCATAACTCATATTAATTGATAATTCGCATAATACGTTTTTAAAAGCTCGGCGCTAAAAATTAAATAAAAACCCATAATAAGGCGAGATCAGCTATTTCCACAATTTCTTAAAAATCACCTATAGTGTCTGAATGATTTACATTTCTGTTGTTGTCATATATTGAGCTATTCAACCTTGATAACATACTGTTCGATATTGGAAACGTTTTGCAGCAGAATATTTTAGCCTTCATATAACACTTTATTTGATCTACTGAATTAAGGCTTTCCAACCTCATCCTATTTCGACGCGCGCGCTTAATAAAGCATACCGCCAATGGCGATTTCCTAAATTTTTACGTGCAAATATCGAAAAAAATCGCCAAATCTGAACACTCTGGCATATATACCACATCGACTTTAGATGAAGCTCTGACAGCAGAAGCCTCTTCATTATCATTGTCATCTTCTTCAAAAAGAGCAACAAAAACTGAAATAAACTGGTAAACTTGCATCCCAATGTGAGTTCATGAAAATTGATAGCAGCCCTGCATATTACAACTACAATCGGCCTACTGGTAAGTGAAATTACCATCTAAACCAGTTAATCGTAAATAATAATTAATTTTTTACGCGAATATATTTTAGTTGAAAGTTGACATAAACAATTATTTTTTAAGCAAAAAACAAAACCGACTTCAATTCCCATATCAAAATTTACGATTATCGTTAATTTCTTCATGATCCGATGATCGTATTCAAGCCAAAATAATATGGGATCACCTGTGAGGTAACATCTTTCATCTAAAAAAAAGAATTATAGAAATCGGTTAACGTGGTCCCCAAAGTTATGCGGCAACATAAAAAAATATTCCGCCGAATTGATAACCTTTCTTAATTTGGGAAGTCGGTTAAAAAGAAATGTACCGCATAGGTGTCGCGATACGAATAACGAAATTTCTTAAAATGAACTAATTAACGATATACATCAACGAAACTTGCCGTGGGTGACATACATATATATGTAAGGCTGTATGCTTAAACAAAGTGCTGGTAAGTGAACTTACCAGTCGGGCAATAATGCGATAAGAAATAAGGCCTATAGAAAAAGCGGCAAAAACGGCTGCCGGCTAAACCAAATTTAATTGCCAAAATATAGCCGGAAAACGGCTAAACTGGCAACACTGGCCATATGATCCCACTTTCGTTTGCTACTATTCATGCACTCATTCGCCGGTTTCCTACCTGTGCACGTGTTGTCTTAGTTGTTTTATCATTCCGTATACTCTGCTACTTATTGTAACGTATGTTTTGCACCGGTCACTAACAGATATCCCTTCTCTAACTATTTTTGTAGGTACCTGGTTATGGATTGGGGAGAGGGTGCATTCCAATACGTCCAAATACAAAGCATCATTCTCTTTAATTTTTAAACCTCAGTAGATTGTAATGCCAAATGTGCGCAACTACGGTTAGATGCTAGTTTTGAACTAGGTTGCGCAAGTTAGAATTTTTCTTCTTCTGTTTTAATTTTATCGAGATCGGTGGCATGAAGTTTTTGCCTGAGAAGACCCCTAGTAAAATTTTCCGAAGAATTATTTTCTAAAATATATCAATCCTCTAACAACCTTCTAAATTTGCTTTATGCGGGGTTTCTTGAAGTAAGGGTCAATACGACCCTTTCAGGCGGGAGCAACAAGGTTAAAATTTGTTATAAAAATATATTCCATGCAACTTTACTATTCATGTATGTCTTATGCTTTAATTTCGCTCAGACATTTATTTTAACAATTTGTTCGAGTAAGTAGTTTTCAAACTACTTCGGCCGAGACATGAAAATCCTAACTGGGGGGTATACTTTCAGAAAATGTTAAAAAAGTCTGGGCTGGTTTTGGCTGTCGCACAGTGTTATATATAGATAAGGAAAGTTTGCGATGCAAATTCACGTTTTACTCTCTCATGGAATGATGTACCGTGGAGGTATTACGATTGATAAAGATGGGTCGCCAGTTGGAACAGGTTGGGAACCACTGCATTAGTAGATAACACAAAACATTAACGCCCTTGCTTGCACACTTACGGGCCTATTCTGAAAGCAACCAATAATTTTGTAGCCGTAAAATTTGTTAACAATTCAACTTTATTTACTGGCTAATTGTTTACTCTTTCCGTTATTACCAGCGCAGAACAGACCTTTTAACAAAAAACGTTCCCTAGATTATGGTGTTCTGTCAGCAAACGAATGATATGTATGTATCTAAATATGTAGGTGTGTATAGAGTTTCGTCGAGCTACATGTGTCGTAAGCAGTACTCCTCTATTCTTCACTGTAATGAGCAAAGAAGTATCAGCAAAAAGATGGAAATGTGACCCATCAGATTAGAAATCGCAAGCGAATTCCACCCTTTAATGCCGAAAACTGTGAGAACTAGCCGTAAATGAGTATATACCCATACATATGCATGTATGTGAGTATATCGTCGTTTAAAGTACAAAACCGCTTATCAACAAAATGCAAAAACGCGTATCAAGATAATGCAAAATCGCGTATGTGAAGTTGTATAAATTATTTTTTAGAGAGTAAAAACACTCATATTTCAAAATGGTTATCTTTCTTATAAAGCAATCGTATTTCTGGCTAGTATATTTCAGGACGAATGTATAAGGATTGAGCCAAGAGCTTGTGTGAGCAAATCCAATGTTTGGCAAAAAGTGTCAGTTACGCGGTTTTGCAGAACGACGATACGCGGTTTTGTACTTTAAACGACGATATAAGTTCTATGTAACATAAGTAATTAAAGTACAAATTCGACAAATATAAATTTTCAAACAA